AATCAACATCTACTGGTTGAGTCTCTGTTTTAGGCACGGATTCACGTCGGCTTCCCCCTAACTTAGAATCCTCAACAATNAATTAACTGGTCTGTACAATATACTAGAAAAGATCACTCAATTCCTTCACGCTCAAACACAATGCATACAAAATCATATGATAGGCCTAAATTTTGCTAATACCACAGAAACATACACATAGAACAGCTTAAATGAACTTCACCCAAAAACTCAAAATTCGATGGTACTTGACTTTCTCTTAGTTAATCATCTAGTGATGGATTTTGACAGCTATAATCACTATTACGTCGCACTAAACATTGATGAAACGGATAGCTGGAATAAACAGATAAATAAAAATCGTAATAAATTTACAACAGTTCTCTTAAATGTACAAAATGAACTTGAAGAAATAGAATTCACTTAAAATTAACACAACTGACTATAACTATAATATAATACAAAAGCCTAACAGGAAATTAAAAAATAACAATGTACTATACATTAAAAATCTCAAAGATCATAATTGTAAGAAAATTACCTTCTTGGGTGCGATACCAATTTTTTTCTTCTTTAACTGAGAATCATCGCTACAATCAACATCTACTGGTTGAGTCTCTGTTTTAGGCACGGATTCACGTCGGCTTCCCCCTAACTTAGAATCCTCAACAATTTTACCTTTTCCCTTATCAGTCACAGGAACACCTCCTATGACTGGTTCGGAATTTGTGTCGGGTAATGACAGGTAGGGAGTTTCATCGACTGACGAAATATTAATATTGTTGCCTTTTCCATCCTCTAATTCTACATTTTCAGTTGTGTTTTCAACATGACTACTGCTAGGGTTACGACTAAATAGAGACTGAGAATCAGAAAATAAGAAAAAACTAGGAACAGACATGGCTGAGGCAACGGATTCAGCAGCTACTTGTGTTGAAGAATGATATTGTCCACGGCGCCACCATCTACGCGCACAATGCTTCTGACCCATAGAGAAAACAACAATCCATAGACATTGATTCACAAAAGCACAAAGGAAAACACAAAAATCCTATGATTTTGAAAACCCACTTTCACTAAAATGTACTTTCAGAAGCAAAAATTTCACCCAAAGGAAAAATATCACCCAAAAATAGGTACTAGACGAAGAGATATAACGGAATCGAAAAAAAATTAAAAACTCGAATGTGGGTGAATTTTGCGTTCTCATCGGTTGGCTATGGAGATTTGGAAACTGTACTCTAGTCTACTTGTTAACTGTTAAACAACGAAGAAAAACGTGGGAAGCTTGTGCCGGGTGAAATAGGTGAGCTGGATCGAAGATAAGGAGAGATGGGTAGATTGGGCCACGTGAAATATGGGGACCAGGTAAATAAATTGGGCCAACTGGGTAGACAAGATAAATAGTTTGGGCATGAGTATTAAAAGGTAAATAATTTGGGATTAATAGGTATAAAGTGAGATTTCCCAAAGAAAATCCGAAGGAAATTTCTTTTTGTGATTTGTGGTCCTTGGTGGGCCAAAGTTTTTTATCAAAAGAGAGAAATGAATCTTTTCCAAATGGCATTCTTGCATTGGTTTTTTTTTCTTTTCTTGATAATAAATAAATAAAATATACTCCTACTAAGTCAAAAAATAGCAAAGCAAAATTACTACATACTCAATTTTCATTTGTTGAAAACCTCTAACTTAGAAATTGCACTAAACTAAATAAAACTATATTTTTGGGAACTTTTCTTTCTATATAAATGAAGGTAAAACTTATACTAAAATGTGACTCTCTTTTTTATCAGTTTCAATTTTCTTAAGTAAAATATATATGTAAAACAAAAGCTAAAATATGTAAATTAAACTCAAAAGATATTTAAATACTAAAAAGTGAAAACAAATTCGAATATAGTCAAAAATTAGGTGTATGTCTTATTTATGTCGGAGAATTTAATCTTTCTTGAATTTCATGACCCCTGCATTTATCTTTAAAGTGTGCTTTTGTTTTTGGAAAGTTGCGTATTTGTTTCTAGGTGTTTATGTGCTTATGGATGAATATATTATAGATCATTGGTTGTATTCTTGGTCATACCTTTTGGTGAGTTTGTTAGATTTTTATTAATCTCATCCATATTGTGCAAGGTTTGAATTTGAAGGCAAATAATTTTAAAGAAAGAGGGAAAGGCTATCATGGATTTGGAGCCAACCTTGTATCCATCACGAGCTTAGTGTTGTAGGGGTTCGTGGAAGGAAGACTTCAAAATTCAAAACGTACTTAAATGACTATTTACAAGGAAGACAACAAGACTCAAGACGATTAAACTTCTTGTAGGGACTGGTTATTTTAGTCACTTTTACTCTTAGTTAAGACCTAGATTTAAATACTTTATTAGGTCTTCATTTTAGATAGGTTGTGTTGTTTAGAGAGTTATTCCCTTGTATCTTTTTATATAATTGAACCTAGCATGAATTTCTCCCATGGATACGTGTATAAGTTCAATCCCTTTACTCTTGGATTGAAGCTAATGATTAATATATTTAGTTGTTAGATTATCCCTTCTTTTCTTCTAACGTCTATTTCCCTCATTTTTATCTCTTAATCGTATCCTTACTGTTTTATCTTGCTTGTTTGATTATTATTCATTTATTATTGCTTCTTGAATCACATCCCTATTTCTCGAATACATTTCAAATGGCAGCTAAATATTGAAAAGTTGTTCAAAAACTAACCATCCAGGACCATTTTCAAAACGTGATTTTTCTAGTTGTCTATCATTAAGATAGTTTATCCTTTTTTCATAAATATGTATAAGATAGCTCATCGTCACGCTGAAATATCATTTCCTTGTGGTATTTGAATTATTCAAGATTAAAGAAAAGGAAACATTTGGCATTGCTACTTATCGGTGCGCCAACAAACAAATCTTTGCTTGGATGACTTTAATTTACACATTCATGAAATTGTCAATGTCATGATACAAGTTACAACTTATTAAGCACGAGCATGAAAACCGCCTCAAAGAAAAAAATGAGGGGCAAGAACTAGTAACAGGTCTAAAACATTGTACCTGAATTTCCAAGTTCTTCGGCTAAGCAAATAGTAGCAACGGCAATATTATGCCATAATTTATCAAGAATTTAGAGTTTCTACGGCATCACTGTACAGCTGCTGAAGCATCACAAAGATCAGCCCTTTGTTCAACAAAGGTAGTTGCTTGCACCTTTAAGAGTTTTGATCTCTCAGACTTCACCGTCCTTCCGTGGAGACTATCATTCTTTCCTGTACAAACTGTCTCCTGCTTAGAACCATGGTCATGGCTGTGCTCGTGTGAGATTTACTTCAATGGTATCTCTGCAGACTGCAAAGTGACCTGCCCAGCAGCAGCTTGCTCGTATTCAGCACTGGCCTCCGGAGTGTCTTCTTCACTGGGTGGAACCAATTGCCAAAACAGTAGCAAATATTTGTCCCACTCCTTGAGAATAGTTGAGCCTTTCGTGCTGCCCGTTTTTTCCTAGGTATAATGAATATAAATCTATAAGAAAAAGACTACTTCGACCACTCGGCAAACAGCCCAAAGAAGCAGAGAAGAAAAATAGGGGAAAAAGGGAAACTAGAAATTAGCCACCATCCTAAAACTAATCAATATTTAGCCATTGTATAATTAGTTGGACAAAAACTAAACCTACACTTCATCTTTTCCCCATCTTTCTGTACGCTTCTTCTTCTTTGCATTAGTTGCAGGAAAGAGAAACAAATTGAACAGCTTCAAGTTTTACGTTCTTTGGTTCAAGCTAACCCACAGATTTTAAAAGCAAGTAGTGCTCTCTGAAATCCTCTTTGGTCAGTTGTTATTATCATTGTCTCAACGTGCAAGTTGGATCGTGTATTGCAGCCTATGCTTCTGGAACTAGGAAAGCAAAATCCTCAAACTTTTAAGATCTACACAGGAGCACCATCCAGAGTTTCGTCAATTAACTTGTAGATGGTTTTGGAGTGTTAGTGTATTCAGCTTTCTCTTTACCAAGCTAGAGAAGAAGCATCATACATAGAGTAATGGAGTTCGTGGTTCTATAATTGGAAAGTCAATGATATAATCATGGAGTTCGTGGTTCTAAAATTGGAAACTCAATAACAGAGTCATGGAGTTCGTGGCTATGTTGCACGGACTCTTCAAAATGCTGCTGCACCCGTGTCGGATCCTCCAAAAATGCACTACTAATTAGGAACTCAAGGAGAGAGTCGTGGAGTTTTCTACAATTGGGGACTCAGAGAGAGTCACGGGCTTTGTGGTTCTACAATTGAGAAATCAAGGATAGAATCATGGACTTTGTGGTTCTACAATTGAGAACTCAGAAATAGAGTCATGGAGTCCGTGGGTTTACAATTGAGAACTCGGGAGCTGTCATGGAGTTCATGGCTCTACAATTGGAAACTCACGGATGGAGTCATGGAGTCCGTGGTTCTACAATTGAGAACCCAAGGATAGAGTCATGGAGTTTGTGGTTCTACAATTGAGAACTCAAGGATAGAGTCATGGAGTTCGTGCTTCTACAATTGAGAACTCAAGGATAGAGTCATGGAGCTCGTGGGTCTACAATTAGGAACTCGAGGATAGAGTCATGGAGTTCGTCGTTCTACAATTGAGAACTCAAGAATAAAGTCATGGAGCTTTAAGTTCTGCAGTTGAGAACTCAAGGATAGAATCATGGAGCTCGTGAAAAATATTTAGAAAGTAAGACGACAACTTATAAGATCAGAAAGTATAATTCTAAACAACGATCTGTTAGGGATATAACTTGTTTTAGCACGTTGTTCTTCGGCTACGTTATTCATCTATGCTGCTAAGAGAATATTCGTTTGTATAGACGCAAGTTCAGGAATGAGGGAATTAATGTTGGAAACTAAAGGGCAGAAAAGTCCTTTCCATCTTATTTTAATGGAGCACTGACTATTTTGCAATTACATTTCAAACAGTGGCTAAACATTAATTAGCGGTCTAAAAAGTGGCTGGCCCCCCTAAATTTTTCGAAGAATAGGACGGATGCCGTTTGTGTCAAGTTTTACATCATCAAAAACCGTATTATTGATACTTGTGGTGAAGGCCAAAAGCCCATGATAATATCTTTGGACAAAAAAAGATTTAAGTGAAGTACGACAACCACCCACTCAACCCCTTCCCCACAAAAACAAACACTTCGAATTATAGATGACCATATACTTGAAAAAGCTTGACAGGAGACTATCAAATCAAATTATAGGCACATAAATGGCACTTCTTAAAAGATGTAATTATGCCCAATGAGCTGTATCTTTAGTCGAGCATGTATATATGAGGGCGGGCGTACGCATGCACGGGCATAGAAAATTATACGTGTACTTACCACATGGGCTTCGATTAGGCTCTTTAGCTGCATTTGACCCACCGGAGCAACCACTCTCTGGATCTTAACAATCTCCTTGTTTACCTATAATGGATATTAAAGAGTGTTAGAGAATGTACGGAGAAGAATGCAGCTTCAAGAAACCAAATCAAATATGTAATACATTTTGGTAGTGCTGAAAATTATCACTCACGACACCTGAAGATATAGTTGTCAAAATAAGCTTCCTAAAAACGAATAAAAGCTACAGCACTATGAACTTATGATCCAACTTCACCACATGGTCTGCTAAGAAAATTAGTTACTCTTTTCAAATCTTACACTACTGGGCAAGAATTATCTGCTTACTGAGCTATGATAACTGACAACAACAACTATTCTGTAGCAGACTTCTAATTTATGGAGCAAGTCCAGAGAGTGATTTCCTAAAAGAATTCTAGTGATCAATGAAGTGGAATGAGAACCATGAGAGACCAACCTACAAATGCCAACGAAGTCAAAACACGCTAGGTGATCTTTTCCCCATCTGTCTAAATATTAATGTGCAGAGTTACCCGATACATGTGCTAGTGGAAGATAATAGATAACCGAATACCCGATGAAATAGGCGAGTTATGGCAAGTTGTGCCTGTGATGGATACCACCATTATAAATGAAAAAGAACACTACAAATTTCCATTAATTTTCTATGTACATTAATGAGATCATAAATTTAGTATTAGTCTTGGTTTTCTCTTTTGCATGAATTTCAAGGAAATTTTGCAATTTAATATGATTAATTTTTAGAATGTAAAATAATCTATGTAAGATCCAGATAATTCATAAACTTTGTACAAAAGCAAATTGAGAGGCACTTGAAGACATCAATATCATGAACAGATTGTACAAACATTCACAAAGTTGATTGAAATCAAACCTTAGATATAAGGGTATCATCCTCATCAAGAATGTATGCCAAACCCCCAGTCATACCAGCAGCTACATTTCTACCAACCCTGTTGTAAGCAAGAAAACATAGCTCAAATCCATGTTAGGAATCCTACACTGTATGAGTGGAACGTGAACAACAGACAATACTTACTTTCCAAGCACCACAACACACCCTCCTGTCATGTACTCACAACAGTGGTCCCCAGTGCCTTCTACAACAGCTTGAGCAAGAGAATTCCTCACAGCAAAACGCTCCCCTGCTTTACCTCTGACAAATACTTGACCACCTGTCGCTCCATATAAGCAGGTGTTCCCTACTATGGTGGCATCCTCTGGACAAAATCCAGTATTTTCAACAGGAGTTACAACCAATTCTCCTCCAGCCATGCCCTATGAAATTTGAACCAGTAACTTTTGTTAGTATGGATGGAATATTGTATTCTTAAAATTCAGATAACGAGCTTACTAAACAGCTCAGCATATTACTTCGCATATCGTAGAAACCACGTGGCATGTGTTACCAGAATAACACTCCACCAATTACCAATGGCCTTTTAGGAAAAACCATAACAGAGAGAGTTTCAAATCCACATGGGGCATATCTTATTTGTTCAACA